CACACACACACACACACACACACACACACACACACACACACACACACACACACAGAAATTCAGCAAATACTTTGTCATTATGTGCTTAACAGTATCTACACTACTCAGCCACAACATTATGACCACTGACAGCTCACCTTGTTATAAACCAACTTTCTGCTGAATAAATTTGTTAATTCATGGTTCCACGGATGTTTGATATTTCATCTACTCCATCACTTTCTCAGACCAGACATCACATGGCACTTCCACACTAGCAGCTAGGGATGCACGATATATCGGCATTGACATCGGTATCGGTTCGATATTGATTTACCATTTTTCAACTTTGTGTTTCTGTTTTGGTAGGCGAAATGTTTGGTCAGGTGGAATCTGTTTGATTGTGAGAGTGATACTGACGCTGCGCAGCCAGGAATAACTGAAGTAGAGCCATGTCAGAGGTCTGGTCGTTAGTTTACGTTATCGAAAAAAGACACAAGTTAATAATTTGTGTGTTTGTGTATTATGGGTAAATATCAGTTATCAGCCATAACACCAATTATAATATCGGATATTGATATCGGCTGAAATTTTCATATCGGTGCATCCCTACTAGCAGCCCCACCCCACTGGGAAAAACAGCTGATACTGGATAAAAAGAGCTTAGAAATGAGTCGCAAAACAACCAAGATCCTGAATTATCTGGTTTCCAAACTTCTCCGATACAAATTTGACAGGGTCTGAAGTCAAGTGTTTTTTCTAGAATAGTGGTTCCCAACCCTGGTCCTCAAGTACCCCTATCCAGCATGTTTTACTTGTTTCCCTGCTCTTCAGCAGGTCTTCAGAAGACTCAGTCATTCAAACCAGGTGTGTCAAATCAGGGAAACATCTAAAAATYACTGCTTTAAATGTTGACCAACACCTCAAGAGCTTCTCTGAACTTGATGAGACATTTTCAAAATATAATATTGACTCAGTTTTATGTTTTTTTAGTATTGCCTCTGGAACCCATTGATTCTTTGCCATTTATTTGTAAATAATAAATCAGATCACATGTATTAAAGCAGTGATTCTCAACCCTGGTCCTCAAGGACTCCTTTCCTGCATGTTTAGATGTTTCCCTGATTTGTGCTTTGGTTAATAAGTAACAACTTGTTTTTGAACTCTAGAAGTMTTTGATTGGTTCCAGCACGGAGTATTATCCTTAAAGGTCACTGGCTCTGCTGCATCCTAGGCTGTACCATGTGTTTGATCCCCAGCCCCCTCCCTTCCTTAGCTGCCTTGCACTGTGCGAGTGGKTTTTTTTTCTGAGCCTATGATTCTGTTTTTCTGTGTAAACATAGGATCAGAGCATTTTTTTACTCATCCTTCCTATTGTGTGTATTCCAAGCTTTTTAAAGGTAGAGCGACCCCTATTGGTTGCCGCATGACCTGAACACCTGTTCCCCCATGTTTTTGTCGTGTGTGTCTTCTTGAATGGGTGTTCTTAAATGTAATTTCATTGACAATAAAGGCTTTTATCATCATCATCAAAACATGCTGGATAAGGGATTGGGAACCACTGTTCTAGAAGAAAAACACTTGACAATCCACACGGTTCTGAGGAACTCCTCCAGATGTTCTTTGTCTTAAGCCTTGATTGTTCAGAGCAGTTTTGAGAGCAAAATAAGAGAGTGGTCAAAATGTAAGGACTTATCTGCGTAGGTTACTTTGTTTGGGCCAGTGTGATCAACATAATGCGTCCCACCATTATGTTGTAAATAAGTAAATAAAATCAGGATAATCCAACACAAACAGGTTTCCTACCATTGGGGCTAATCCAGGGGTTAGTTGAGGTCCACGTCCTGAAGAGGGTCTWCGCAGCTGAGAGGACTGTCTCTGATAAAACAAACATTTTTTTATTGGCACATTTACTTTAAGATTCTGTATTCGTTTTTTACAAGAGAGATCTGTGTAGATATTTTTATGGTTTTGACTATGTCTGAGAACTGTTTCCTTTAGAAAATATAATTATTTTTCTAAACTAAAACAGCATCCATATAGGTAAGAATTAGACTGTGCAGTGCATGGACAGTGTGATGATGCAACAACACTGAATGACCACAAATGAAGCATGTTGGTTTTACTTGTGTGTGTGGGGGTCCCAGTTCAGGAGCTGGAGCTTGGATGTAGAGCCGAGGTGGGACAGCATGCGGCAGCCTGCGTGTGTGTGGCAGTCGAGGTGTGAGGGAGGACGAGGACGGCGACTGTGTAGAGGAGCATGTCGGGAGGAGGTGAATGGAGTCTCTGGGGGGTTCAGACTCCATGAGACCACTGCTGCCTTCTCCTGAAAGACAAGAGGGAGTCAGTCAAGATTTTCTAGAAAAGGAGGTCTGAATTGGTTCCACAGGTGTGAGTCTGAGGCTCACCGCTGAATGTTGGCTCAGAGGAACACTGGGAGGCCGAAGACGCTCCGCTCACGTTCTCCTCAGTGTTGGTGACATCTGAGGGTCCTCCTTCATCCCTCTCCTCTTCAGCTTCTCTGCTCTCCTCATTACTCTCCTCAGCTCCCCTCATCCCGCTGTCAGCAGCATCATCCTCATGTTCTTCATCACCTCCCTCCTTGAACTGAAGCAGAGAATTCAAGTTATTTACAAAATTATATATATACACATATACATATATTTTTTTATTTTTTTTTATTTTTGAGAAAAAAAAGACAGCAAACAAAGACCTGCTCTTCTTCGACTTCTTCCTCATCTTCTTCTTCACCTTCCTGCTTCTGGTCCTCTGGGCTCTCACTATCCGTGTCAATCACAATAACATCTCGGATTATTGCAGAGACCTGGGAGCCCTGATCAGAGGGGACAGACTGGGAAATGCCCTCTTCCTCCAGGTCTTCAGCCAAGACTGGAAAACCTTCCTCTGGGAGCTCCTAGAAGGAAAACAGGATTTAAATACAAATATATTATAATGAGTTTATGTTTTAAATGTTTTTATTATAACCTTAAAAAGGTACAGAGACATTTGTAAAACCCAAATTCAGAACTAGTTTGAAGGAAGGGTGTACTTTAACTCAAGGAATAAAACTATGGAATAATTTGGGGAGTGATGTAAAAAATGCAGGATCATTGCGTACATTTAAGAAAATGATAAAAGTTGGATTGTTAAAGAAATACGAAACAGTATAATGTGTATCTATATAAACTGTTGTTATAGAGGGATTAGATGTCCTCATCTTTTGTTTTGTTAACAGATGTTTTGTTATTAACTTATTCTTGGGGAAAAAGGGGGGCAGATGTAAGATTTTTTTCTTCTCTCTACTGCCTTTCATTTCATTTTATTTGTGATTTTGATATCTATATGATATCTATCTATCTATCTATCTATCTATCTATCTATACAAAATAATGTTATATACAATAAAAAGAAAAATATAAAAAGAAAAATGAGAGAACATATATATATATACAGTATATATATATATGTTCTCTCATTTTTCTATTTAATTTTTTTTTTTTATTGCATATAACATTATTTTGTTTTAATGAAATTAATAAAGAAGTGGAAAAAAATCAAAGGCTTGTCTATTTTGATTTACATATTGTTCCTTCATGCAGTACACTTAGTTTAAATAGTGTTTATTTGGATCTCTGTCAGGTCAAATCACAAAGCACAACTGTGCTGCCAAAGGTAAAACACTTTTTCTTAAAGCCGGAAGCTAAATTAAAATCAACTAATTATTTTGTACCTAAACACCAATAATAGAGGTCAATTGGCAATTTAAAAATAGAGTGTTATTATTGCCCACTACCAAAAAGTAGATTAATAACATTTGTGTGTGTGTGTGTGTGTGTGTGTGTGTGTGTGTGTGTGTTTGTGTGTACACCTGTATGCTTGTTTGTTGTGCAAAACATTGTTTTTATTGATAACTAACCTGGCTGCCATCAGGTGAATCCAGCTGCTCTCTCATGTCCCTCAGCTCTCCATCCATCTCCTCTTCACCCTCCATCTGCACAAAAATTAATTACGCAAATATTATGTTTGTAAAAATGTGATGGACTTCACAAAGAGCAGAGTTTATATGTCAGAACAAAACATGAACATTTTGTAACACATTAATTAGCAGAAAATTTCCAAGTCACACTGATAAAGTTTAGATCAGAGGCTCAGATCTTTTAAAAACAAAACTTTTGTTTATAATGTGTTTAATTTATGCTGGTTTCAAAGTATTTTCTATTGATTGTAGAAAGGTTTGTGTTTGGACAAGGGAGGTTTTATTTATTTGTTTTTTAATGATAACTTAACTAGACCTTCTCTAAAAGTTAGAGTCAATCTGTAAAAGTACACAGAAATAACTCAGGAAAAAAGCGTTTCCAGCACACTTTAAGTTTTTGTACCTGCAGGGCTATTGTCGGCTTTAGTCGTAGTTTTTTAGTGGTTGGCGGTGTGTGAGAACTCTCTGGTCTACTCTCTTCCTCCTCCTCCTCAACCTTTCGCTTTGAACCTGGTTAAGTCAAACCAGACAAACATCACAGAACATTCTTTAACAGTCAGATACAGGAACCATGAAGAGGTGGAGAAGAGTCAAACCCACTTCTGGGTCAAGTCCTTACCTGCTCCAGTCATAGAGGAGGATGTGGTTGGCCGCTCTGCCTCCATGCTGGATCCTGCATCCTGATTGGCTGCCTGCTGCTGAGTGGGCTGGACAAAAGCTGTGGCCTGAGTGCTGGTTGGCTGAGCCATGGAGGTGGAAGTGTTGACGAGAGCGGAGCTGGTGGAGTGGACAGATGCACTTACAAGCGCTACAGAGAGAAAAACATTTTACTTTGACACATTTACACAAATACAGCAGGTTMTTATTATTCATGAGCCTCATCTTCAATGGGGAATTATATTCTAGTTTTTAAATTGACTTATTTTTTTACATCTTCTCTCTTTTACCTTCTTGACTCTCAGTCTGTGTGGTCGGCATCACTGTTGCTGTAGGGGTCGCTATGGGAACGGTAGCTGGGGTAACCATAGGCTTGATACTGGCACGAGGTGTGGCCTTGCTGCCTGTGGAGGTGCTCGCCTTGTTACTGGGAGACGGAGTACTTTGAGTGGGTCTAATGTTGGCAGTGGGAGGCTCAGAGACACTGGAGCTGATGAAGAAAAAGTGGGAAAATTATAAACCTTTTTTTTTCAGTACAAGTACAAATACTTTGTTACTGTACTTAAGTAGAATTTTTGGGTATCTGTACTTTACCTGAGTAATTATTTTTCAGCCTACTTTTTACTTCTTACATTTAAAAAAAGGCAAGAAGTAGAAAGTCATTACTTTTATTTCATTTTTGCTTGGTTTCATTCGGCTTGTTATTGTAAAAAATAAATATTATCCATATAAACTGTGCCTCCCAAATACAGTGAATTTAATTGTGGTTGAATGAGAAGAATAAATATACAAAATTCTGATACAGTATTAGTTTGTACACAAACAAATCATGTCACACTCCAGCAGGACATAATCTTTAAAATAAAAAGGACTGTACTTAAAGGGCAACATCATGTAAAATGAACTTTTTTGAGTTTTATATCATGTTATAATGTTCTACTCTCCTAAAAAACATGCTCAAAGCCTTGCTTTGACTCATTCATGCATGTTTGAGAAATCCTGCAGCRTTTTTAGGCAGCCATGCTGAGGAGCAAAACGACAGGTGGGGACCAGGAACACCCCCGAGACGTGTCTTTAAGCCGAGACTCCTCATGGCGGTGCACCCCCCCCCACACACACACACACCCAGTCGATGACTCCTGCAGGCTCTCGGGTGAAACTTAAACTGTCTGCTGCTCTTAACACTATTGCTCACTCAGTGAAGCTCTTTTCAGATTAAAAGTACCTTTGAGGAAATGTATTTTCACATGCCAACTAAACTGCATCATAGCAGCCCCCCTCTCCCTCGCGAGCGCAACCCCCCCCCMCCCCCCGAAATGGGAAGGACAGAAGCGGAAGGTGGTTCTTAAAGAGACAAGAGGCCAATTTCAAGGCATTTAGAAGAGGAAGTGATGAGAAGATAAGTTTATTTTCTATTTAAACATAAAAACAGCATTTTAATAACAGCTAAARGTGACATAGATACTTTTTTATGGTATAGTATTTAAATATATGCCTGAGAAACACATAACATTGCCCCGTTAAGAAGTATTTGTATTTCATGAATTATATTACTGCATTTGGCCTGCAGCCCTAGTGCATCCTAAATTTAACATAAATTATCTTAACACGAAAGTAATTTCTGCATTTTTTGGGGAGGTCACCTCTTAATAAATGTCCTTACAGAAAATCTAACTGCTCATTTTAAAGCAATACTTTTACTTTTAATACTTCAGTACAAAAAACATCAGATACTTTAATACTTTCACTCAAGTAATATTCCTAAAGGAGACTTTAACTTTTACCAAAGTCATTTTTTGTTAAGAAACTTGTACTTTATACAACACTGACTCTATGTTCCCCTAACAAACCTATTCTGACTGGTACGATGTGAAAACATTTGTAAAGTTAACACTGTGTTACACTTTGAATAAAAAATAACAAATGAAAAATGTAAGGAAATGTAAAAGTTTTAGTGTTGACAGTACCTTCCCCTTTCTTGAGCGGGACTCTTCAAAGAAATCTGTCTTTGGTCTGAAGACCTGGCCTGATCACCCACCTGTTTGAACAAGACGGCAGCAATAAGTCAGACAAACAAAGAAGGAACAACTGATGCTAGAAAATACTGGAGTCAAGTTACAACCAAGTCATATTTTAAACAAAATGTAATAATGTTTTCATCAAATTAAATCTTTTTTTGACGGAGTTCTCCCTTTTCAGTTTTTGTTAAAACACTTTGAATAAAATTGCAACTTGATTGAACAAAAAAATGGGAACGTGGCTTCACAGATGACTTTATTACTGTGGCTACGTTTGGTTTCAGTGAAGTCCAGCGTGTACCTTGGCTCCGCTCTGGTCCGGAGGATCTTCTCTTTGGTCAGAGTGGACCTGCGTCTCTCTCAGTTCTTTCAGCTCTCTTTCCAGACGTAAACACTTTCCTTCAAACTGAGACTTGAGTGCATTCATTCTGTCCTCCAGCTCCTCCTTACTCTGTTTCAGTTCTTCGTTCTCTTTGCTGAGCTGCTCTTTAGCCTCTACACGTAGAAAAATAAAATAAAATTTAATAACGGATCCTAAATCAACAATAGAGCACAGGCCACTCCTCAGATTGTGTGTCTCTTGTTGGGAAGGTTCACTCACTGTTAACTTGGCTGATTTTAAGTTTGGCTCCCAGGAAGGCCTTCTTCGTCTTCTCCTCTTTCTCAGCCATCTGCTGTTTGAGCTGCTCCTCTCGGCCTCTGCTTTCAGACAGCTGCAAAAAAAAGGACAATAATTGTGAAAATTTGTAGAAACTTTGATCAATTCTTAAAACTAAAGGACCCACACACAMAAAAATATAAAATAAATAAATAGAAAAAACAAGTAAATGAAGACTGCAATTTAATCAGGTACCTCCTGTTTGAGTTTGGTCAGCTCATCTTGCTGGTTAGCATCATCGGCAGCTTTAGCATCAGAGGCCTGGGTAGACTGGGAACTCTGGCTCTGGTTGGCCTTTGCAGCTTGGTTAGCTTCATAAGCCTGTTTGGCTTCAGTTAGCTGCTCCTGGAGACGCTTATTGTCTGCTTCACGCTCAGCAACAGTCTAACAAAAGAGTTAAATATCAATTAAAAATAACAAATCACAACAAAATTAAGACCATAACGATTAAAGAATAACACAAATAATAAGTTAAACTACGGTATGACAAAAACAGTCATTTTGTTGTTTTGGCCCATTATTAGGCCTAACCATCTTCGATAATTTGCTCCTGCTATACATTTATAAGTGAAGAGGGATTTATATATTAGTCAATTGATTAAATCTATTTTATCACCACATAGATAAATTTTTTTTAAATTTTCTTCTAACCTCCTGCAGGTTGTCCACCTTGCCTTGAAGCTCAGTCACCTGGTAAACAACATTAACAAATATAATTTGATGCTTTAATAGAATTGAATCAAAAACACAAATGAATAAAGAAAAAAAGTCACAAGCAAATGTTTGTGAAAGAAAAACATTTTTTCCTCACTTTGTTTTCAGCTTGGCTCAGAGCGGTTTTTAAATCTTTGACTTCCTGGCTGAGGCTCTGTTGGCTGGCCTGGCTCGTTTGTTGGAGCTCCTTCTGTTTAGCAAGGTTCTGTTGGAGGGCGTCTTTAGCCTGATGAAGATCCCTCTGGACCTGCTGAATCTGGTTCTGACGGGCCTGAGCTTGACTCAGGGCTGATTTTAATTGGTTCTGTACCTTTAAAATTAAAATAAAAAGGGTCAGTACGCCTCCTTCAATCACCTATGACACAAAAATAAAAAGAAAACATTCAAGCAGTTAAAATCTGACCTGCTGGGTTTGGCTCTTGGCCTGCTGAAGGTCCTTCTGACTCTGGGTCAGTTGGTTCTGACTCTGCTGCAGTTGAGTCTGGGTCTGAGACAACTGAGACTGGACCTAGAGCGGCAAAAAGGGGACAGTAGAAACATGAATTAGGAATTTTTTTTCAGAAACAATTAGTTTCTATCGAACACGGCAGCAACAAGATTCTATGCATCTTTTAGAGTTGATCGCCGGTGCTCAACTTGATGTTGTTATTCCAGAAGTAACGTTAAAATCAGCCTCCATTCCTTGAAAAACAGGCCGCTGATCTAATTTTAGTGAAATCAAACAGTGGGAAATGCCTCCAGGACATTTGTAAGGTTGAGTTGACACAGTTAAATATAGCTAATATGTAAYTATTTTTTAAGTGACTGATACTGTTAAGACTTTCACTTCTGAACTGCTCTGTTTAACAAAAAAAATCCTCTTTTTCAGGTATTTTGTTAACTTCTTTTCATGATGCAATAAAATTCTAAAAAAAATACAATTATAAAATATATTAAAGTCCTTTAGAATGTCCTACAATTACATGTAATATTTTACCCAAAAAATTATTCTAGGCAGACAGCAACACTGTTTACTGTAGTATAATTTGAAGAAAATGAAAAATGGCTACAAAATGAAAACTGACCAAACAAATTCTCTATTAATCTAATCCCACAGATTGAGCATTGCGTCACATAATTATGATGTACCTGAGTCAGCTGGTTCTGGTTCTGTGTCAGCTGGTTTTGGACTTCTTGGAGCTTTTCTTTGGTTTGCTGGTTTTCCTTCTGGGCTGCCTCCAGCTCCTGCAGGGCCTTCTGGGCCTGGTGGAAGAAATCAGGTTTTTAAAACACTTTATCTACTAAAAAGTAACGTGCTGTATTTAAGCAAAACAAAAACATTGTCCTGCTTCTGCTTCCAATGTTAAACACATTGCAAATTATTACCCTGAACAACTTTACACTTCTGAAGTTCARTTGTATTTGGGAGCTTGCATTATGTTTTTAGATTTTTTTTAACTCTCTATTCATCAGAAAATAAACATTTGAAATATTGTTTTTGTAACTTYGTAGACTTGGCACACCAAGTCTTCTTTATGTGATTTATTAACAACAGACAGTAAAAAATCTTCCTCTCTTCCAGCTGTTTCCTCTTCAGGGGTTTCCACAGTGAGTCATCCTCCTCCAGCTCACTCTGTCCTCACTTCAACTCTATAACTGCATCCATTCATCTCCTCTTCTCCTGATCAATGCTTTTATGCAGTAACATCCTTCCACCAAAATACCCTCTGTTCTTCCTCTGCACGTCAGACCATCTCAATCTGGTCTCTCTAAGCTTATCTCCCAGTTTTTCAACCTGTGCTGTACCTCTGATGAGTTCCAAATCCACAAAGACACAATGGAGTTCTTTTCTGAGCCTTTCTGTACTTCTCCATCAGGATCCTCAAAGCTCTAACTCTAGCTAACTGCTACAACTCTCTACCAGACCTTCATCATGTGGCTCATCAACCTAGTCCTCACATAAATGCTACGAACGTGTACCTCATCCTTGTTCTTAATACACAGCACTAGCACCTCTCTCCTCCATTCCTCAGGAACTTTCTCACCTTCAATAATGTTATTGAACTAACAGACACTGAAATATAAATATCAAAATGAAACAAGACTGGCAAATTAAAAGAGCTGAGGCCAAATATACGCTGATGCTGTGTTGAAAACACTTTCAGTCTTTCCTGTGGATTTACAGTAAACTGACTTATTTTAGCTTCACCTGAAACACTGAGCAGAACCTTTGCCTTACACCATAACATTAAGTTTATTTAGAGAACTGMTAAATGTCTGGCTACATTTAATGTTCACCTCTTCCCGCTTTTTCTGCATTTCTTCTTTTAATGTGTTCAGCTCCTCTTGGGWCTTTTTAAGCTCCTCTTGGACTTTGTTCAGCTCCTGCTGTGCTTCCTGGTTCGGYGCTGCTTCACTTCCTGCTTTAGCAGCTGTTTCACTGACCAGCTGGAACAGAAATAAAACCTTACTCGCTGCAGTTTTAGTTAAATAAAYACAGGTTCAGATTGTTTCCATAACTGAAGTCCCACCTTGTCATGCTGGGCTTTGAGCTCATCGTACTGAGCCTTGTATCGTCGTCCAATCTTTTTCACCTGATTGATGGTCTTGATCTTCTCCACAATGTCRTTATTTTTGGCCTCCAGGTCTTTTTTGAGAGCATCTCTTTCTGACGTTATGCGAGACACAGATTCTCTTAGGCCTTGCACTTGGGACTGAGCTGAATTACTGCTGGCGTTGGATCTGATTCGCGCACACACACGCGCACACACACACACACACACACACACAC